CACTGCTCAGGTACCTGTTCTGAAACACACCTGAGTGAGAAAAAAAAGTCCATTTGCTGTAACAGCTGTCATTACTCCAGCTACTACATGAAGCCATCACTTACCCTAACAACACATAAAACTACCTATGCCTTGTCTGCTAGCATAGAGGAGGAGGGCTGTATTTTAAATCCCTCAATCCTGACAGTTTCTCTAAGTGGGAACATAAGCCTGAATTTTAAGGGAAAATTCCTGAGGCTCCATTCGGCCGGTGTGGCCTGGCCCATCATGGTGATGAGCGCCTACATTTGCTCCCATCTCACTCCAAAGGGGAAGCCTGGTGAGCCCCGAGAAGCAGGAGTCAGCAAGACCCCAAGAGACCCAAGAAACAGGAAAGTCAAGCAAAATCAGAGATGCTCTGATGTGAATTTACCTTGAAATATTCTGAGTCTTTTCTTCCCTTTTTCTAGATAAGGAGACATAGGCTCAAGAATTAAAGTGATTCTTCACTTAAAATTTGGTGACAGAGTTAAGATTAGAAGTCAGGTCCCGGAGGTGGGAGGGGGGACCGGGATGGGTAATAGATGCAAATCCATGGCTAATTCATTTCAATGTATGACAAAAACCACTGCAATGATGTAAAGTAATTAGCCTCCAACTAACAAAAATTAAAAAAATAATAAAAAAAAGAAGTCAGGTCCCCTGCTATTATTTGCGGCAAAAGAAAAAAGAAAAGGCACACACACTACTGCTTTAGCAAGCAATTAAGTATTTCTTTGCTGCTTTATGGTTTTCCTTAAAATTGTATGCAAATTTCTCATTCTACATTATCATATATCCTCCATGATTTTATGTAAAAGAAACTTTAAAATTAATTGTCACAAAATAAAGAAGACCCTCCAGGTAGCGCACATCCCAGTGGAAAGACACAGCCTGATCACAGATACAAAATTACCTTAGTACTAGAATTTGGTGTCTTCAGGGCTTCTTCCTCTCCTAATGCCTTCTCTTATCTATGATCTATGGTCTATCATCCCCATTCCAGCCTTATCTCCCTCCTAGGGAAAAAAGTACTATCACCCAAGGATACCTGCCAAATTCCTACTCACCCTTTGAGGTTCAAGTCCAACATCATCTCCTCTAGGAAGTCTCCTATAAACCTTCCAAGCCCAGGTGATCCTTTCCCTCTCCCCATCAACTAAACCCTAAGCATGCTAATTCTAGCACTTACCAAGCCGTGTTGCAATGTGTCTGTTTGCAAGTTTTTTCTTCCATAAAGTATAGCACATAAAAAATTTGCAAACAATGTTTGCTGAATGAGTGAACTTAAGGTTATGGCTGCAGGCTCCCTGTGGTCCACTTGTCATCACGCTCCCTAGCGCACTGCATTATGGCTGGAGGGAGGCCCGCACTCAGCAAGCGCACACTTACTGGCTGGGGGAGGGGCTCCGGAGGTACCGGGCCTGCACAGCCCTCACGTTGGCTTCATCCTCTTCACTCGGGACTACCTGCTCCTCTTCTGTGTCCCCACTGGTTGCCATGACAGCCTGTCAGCTTCTGTAGGTTTAGCGTGAATAAGGCAGTTAGAAAACCTAGTTCTGGAGGTTTTGTGGGGGTCAGGGGTGTGTTGATGATGTCACCTCAATGGAACTAGGAATGGGAAAGTCACCGCATGTTAATCGCTTAGTGGGGAAACAACTCATGAGGAAAACCCAGTCAGACTTGATTCAGCTACTGTTATCAGGACACCAAAACGCACCCTCGGCCATGTAAACAGTCCACCTTGGAGTCATGAGATTTAAGAAGTGATACCTTGGCTCCTTCCACAGGAGCCAGCAAGAAAGCAGTGAGGGGAGTCCAAAGTTTGCCTTAACTATAGCTGAAGCTGAACAAATGTGTATTCCCCAGACCAGAAAGGTCTTTCTCTGAAACCTCTGGGTATACACACTCTCTCTCTCCCGCTCTCACACAAGTAGAGACACCTTTTGTCTCTACTGGGAAGGTACCTTCTTCAGCGACTCTAACCGAGGCCACAGGAGCCAGTGCCTTTGGCTCGGGAGCCATTCCACAGCTTACTCAGGAACAAGACCCCCCGGGAGCTGGTCCCAGACAAGGCCGGGCCCTGACACTCAGGGAAGGGCTCCTCGCCTTTGTCTGTAAGTCCTGGGCTCACAGGACAAAGTGAAGGGAGAACACTCACCGCTGATCTGCCTGTATCTCCACACCGAGAGGGCAGCCACCCAGGGGCCGAGGGGCCCAGACGAAACGGCCAGAGGCTCCGGCCAGCGAGGCGGACCCCCCTCCTCCCTGCCGCCTCCTGCTCTGAGGCGCAGGACAGCTGCTCGCAGGAAACCGTAGCTGCCTTCTAAATTTAGCCTCTGGCCCCTCAGCCTGGCAGATCTCTGAGAGGAAGGCATGCAGGCTCAGGACTCAGACCCGCACGCGGGCCCCACTTAACTCTTTCCCTCCCGGCTGTTGCTTTGGGAACTGACCTCGAGCCGCAGAACTGGGAGAAGCTCATGCTTCACAGAGAGGCCTAAAGAATAGGTTTACTTTGGGCTCTCTCTCCATACCTCCCTGCCTGGGGCTGCCTATTCAGAGTGCTTCCAGAAGGTAATCTAAAGCCAAGGATCTAGAAGAATGAATTAAACTGTACTTTAACCCTCTCTCAGCATAGAGGGGTTTTGGGGAAATACCAGACACCTAGAGTGGGGAGGATCCTCTGATAGATGTTGGGAGAGCACCATGGTGAGACTAAGGGGTGGAAACTGCCTGTGACCAGGACTCCATTTCTTTGGAGAGAGGTAGCTCTGGATACTGAGCTGGGCAGTTGTGTGCCTTTTCCACAACTCCTGACCCACACTCATCCCATATCATCCTGGGTGATACAAACACCCCTTGAGCTTCATAAACTTCAAATGAGTTTATGATCCATCCTACTCCACTACACCAACTCCCATCAACATTACAATCAAAACAAAGCCCAATAACCCAAAAGTTCATTTCCTCACCCCATACATTCTGTAATGACCCCTATCCCTTCATCCATCCATCTGCCCATTTGTCTACCCACTCACAAATACATACTGATATCCACTATGCATCCAGCTCTGATGTGACCAAAGTTAGTAAGACACATAATTACATGCTTAAAATGGTGTTTCTTCCCAGCTAGGTGGAATAATGCCTGGGGCATAGTATCATTAACAACTGGCCAAACAAATGAATGACCTCATAGCTTATTAGAAGGAATGAGACAGAGACCAAAAATAGCTCAAGCACAAGGCAGAATGTAGTCAGTTAGTGTCCTAAGAGAGATCCAGAATGCTGTGTGAGTTCAAAGGAGGGAGAGAGCCCTTCTGACTGAAGAAGTCAGGAAAGGCTTAATGAAAGAACAGATAATACCTGAACTGGGCTTTAAAGCACATATCGCATTGCAACAGCAGATATGGTGAGGGGAGGATGTCCAGAGGGGATGGCGTGGAAAAAGTTTTAGGATAGCAGAAATTAATTTCACATAGTGGTTAGAGCTTTGAAGAAAGAAAACAAGGTTGTGTGCAGAGACTTGGCAAAGCTGAGATGGGAGCATCTTTGGAGAGAGTGGTTCAGGAAGGCATCTCTGGAGAAGCACATGGCACCACCATTGACCAGTTGCCAAACCACTGTCCTGGGCATCAACATAGGGGCTCAGTGAGCAGCTGCTGAATGGAAGAAGGACCACAGCCGAGTAACCATGGGGTTCAAGGTGCCTCCAGACTTCAAGGTTCCATGAAGATGAAAGGCTTCATGAAAGAACCTCAAGGCTCCATGAGGAGGGAGGGATGGAGAGGGGTGGGAATCAGGCAGGGGGCCAAAGAGTGGCATCAGGTGGACAGACCGCCAGCATGAGGAAGCAGAAGTGGGTGGGAGGTGAGAGAGGGAGAAGGGAGAGGGAATACGCCTACAAGTGGCAGCAGATAAAGCAGGGACTACTCAGGAGGAGGGGTGACAGAGGGCCTCTGTTCTCTTTATAACCTTAATCCCCACCCTGAACTCACAGAGGGCGACATCAGGATCACTAGCAGAGTGGACTAAAAGTCAGAAAACCACTTGCTAGCTATGTGACCGTAGGTAACCCATTTAACTTCTTTCAGATATAGATCCCTGTCTGTGACATAGCGAATCGAAGCACTCATTTCCGCACTGTGTTCTGACCACCCAGGCCAAGGTGGGTCCCCTTCCATGGCCAGCCTTATTACCTGTGTCATCTCCTAGGTCATGCTCCCCACAGCACTGGCGATCTTTAAGTGGGGTGACCAGCTACCTCAGTTTCCCTAAGACAGAGGCATCCCTGGGACACAGGGCCTTCTGTTTTAACACTGGGGCAACTCCAGGCAAACTGAGATGAATCAGTCATGGTATTTCTGGCTGTCTTGTTTGACTGTTTCCTATTTTCCTCCTCAGTCAGATTAGCAGTTCTCTGGGGTAGAGACTTCTGGTCCTCCTCATGACTGTGCCTCTAGCATGCCGTGGGGTGGGGGAAATGAAAAGGAAGGGAAGCAGAGGAGCAGATCATAGTATGTCGCGAAGTGTTTCGGCAATTGTGGCCAACACCCTTCTTTTATTGACTTTGAAAGCCTTCCTCTGAGATCACTTCCCTTTATATCACAAGGTGGCGACTTCCTGTCTCATACAGGTAAACAGGCACTATAGTGAGAAGCCCAGGACTTTGCCCACCTGCTAAATGGAGAGAAGGCAGGGGGAGGAACTGAGAAGGTGAAGAAGGTTCCTGTTGGGGCCTTTGGTGGAGTGGGCGGGGCTGGGGTCTAGTCCCACCGGTGAGCTCACCTGTCAGTCCAGCTGAGGGGTGGGGCATAGGGGCCAGGCTGGGCAGAGGCAGACAGGAAGGGAGAAGCTACAGGACTGACCGAAGGCTGGGCTGGGCCAGAGGCCGCTGTAGCTTTAACCAGGCAGGCCCGACTGATTCAAGACAGGAGCCCACCAGTGCCTGGCTGGACGTGGGGCAGAGAGGAAGCAAGACCATGGAGGGGAAGATACAGCCTGTGCTGTGGGTGCTTTGTGCAGGTGAGTGGTGCCCAGGGGTGGGCAAGATAGGGGCTGAGTGCTGGGGGTCTCCCAGACACCCCCAGGGAGGGCCTCGAATGGCACAGTGTATTCCCTCTGGGCAGAATGACATGTTCTGTTGTTGAAACAGCAGGTTCCAGGCCAGAATCAGAATTTTTTTATTCTCACATTAGTAAATAAAATTTGAGCCTATTTCTGGAATGAAGAATTCATAAGGGTCTCAAAACTATATTTTCTGATTCCAAGTCAAATCATCAGATCAAATATATTAATAAAATCTGGAAATTAGAACAAAATATTTAAAATCAGTGTTTTTAAACCCCAGAAAGGCCAGGATGTGTGGATCCAGGATTTTTGTTCACTACCTGAGATTTTGGAGGAGGAAATGGCAACCGACTCCAGGAATCTTGTCTGGGAAATCCCATGGGCCAACGAACCTGGCAGGCTACAGCCCAGGGGGTTTGCGAGAGTCAGACACAACTTACCGATTAAACCACTAATATGTGAGATTTTAACCATTGCCTTAAAACCAGAGAAAGAGGCACTGGTGACAGTGGTAACACCTGTATCACATACATGGAAACTTTCGCAGAGAGACACTACTACTCACCCAATATCATTTACAGGGCAAGAGAAGACTAAGCCCTTCAAAAAACAACCAATTAGAAAGGCCCTTTCCAAGGGTCAAAGCTCTTTAGCTCTCTTCGTGCTCTGGTCATTGAAAGCTCAGAACCTGGGGAAACCCCACATAATAAAAAACAGACATTCATTAATATAATGGTAGACTCCAACTTAAGTGCTAAGTAGCAAAGTCATTGTGTGAGGATCCATGGAGTGTCTAAGGGTTAGGATGGAGGTCTTGGCATTAGACTCCTGGGAACTGACACAAAGCAGAATGAGCAAGGAATCTGAGAGATAAGGGTTGGGGGAATTTTAGGAACCGTGCTGGGAATCTCATCAGCTTGCAATTTATTTATTTATTTTAAAATTTGGCCATATTTTAAAACTAAAAATATTATTTTTCTTTGAATGAAAGATTCTTTAAATTCTGTAGTGTTTTACAACTGTCAAATATTTTACATACACGATTTTATATAATCCCACAGTAACCCTTTTTTCTCCTGCTCCTGTCTTGCACTTCCTCTTTTCCCTCTCCCCACTAGTTTGTTCTTTATATCCAGCTTCTTTTTCATTTTATTCATCTGTTTGTTGTATTTTTTAGATTCCACATGTTATATCACACACTGTTCATCTTTCTCTGTATTAGCTTGCAATTTAGAAATTATTGTGGGCTTCAGGGATCTAGCAAGACTAGGGTATGTTGTTGAATCCAAGTCAATGTGGCCCATGTACAATGAGGCTAAATAAACTGAAGTACTGGAATGTGGAAGAGAAAGTTTTACTGCAAGGGCCATAATTGGAGAAGGGGTGGCTCATGCTCAAAAGACCTAAACTCCCCAATGGGTTTCAAGAAAGCATTTTTAAAGGCCAGGTGAGGAAGGAGAGTCACAGGATGTGTGATCCGCTTGTGCACAATTTTCTGTTTGGCTGATGGTGAGGTAACAGGGTGGTGTCACAGGGGTTAACATCGTTGTCAGGCTCCAGTAGCTCTGGGCGCTGCATGCTCACGGTCGTCAAATACTTCCTTCCATTTGGTAGGGGTTTCAGAAACTCTAAAACAACTCAGGAAATGTGCCTCGTGTAGTGCTGTCTAGGTTCTTCAGGGAGGAGGAGTTAAACATTCTGTGACTGCTGTATGGCTAATTTAGTGTTTAAATTCTTACCAGTTTTCCTGGCCCACCTGCTACTTTTGCATTCACTCTTGATTCAGACTTTTAAGACTCAGGGTAGGCCTGGAAGACCACAGCTTTTCCACAAACAAGGGGCAGGCAGAGGACATGCAGAGAAGGATCTGTCCTGGGCAGTCCCATAGGGTCCTGCACAGTTACAGGAGGAGGTGAAGCAGTCCTGCCAGGAAAATTGGGAGCCCTAAGGCCTGGGAAGTGGAATGGAACAGGGTCTGATTTAGGGCTCACTTTTCCGCTTCTAGAGGCAAGCTCCAAACCAGTTGGCCTGCCAGCCCAGGGTGGTTCTCCCAGGTGCCCAGGTTTCCCCATGTTCCCCTTCTTTCCCCATCTCTCCAAACTCAATCTTGAAGCTGTTGGTTGCTCTGGAGGGTCTGGTCAAACTCGGAGGCCCTGCCAGAAGGCCCATCTGACTGGGGCAGAGGGGCCCTTGTTATCAGACTACAGGACCTACTTGGTTCATTCTTTCATCCAAACAGCTCTTTGCCAAGCACATAGTTTGTGCAGGAAACACAGGAGTGAGGGGCCTGGAATGAATTGCAGTCATCAGGGAATCTGTCTCAGCTATCACATCCAGACCCAAATGACGTGCTTCAAGTCTCGAGGGTAGGAGGCTGAGAGGAAGTGACCATCCTTTCTGGGCTGGGCCAGCGACCTCTGATCCTCTTCTCCAGAGCCTAGAAGTCTCTCTCGTGCCTTGCCTCCTCCCCTACACACCCCTGCATTTGCTGGCTGCAACCCAAAAGCCATGCACGAATAAAAAGAAGGGATTTGGGCTTAGGGAAAAAATAACCCGAAACAAAACAGACTGAAAAGTGGCCCTAACTGTGAACAGCCTGGAGCAGTACATTTCACCTCTTCCTGTGAGAAGGCAGACCCCTGGGCGAACTCATCCAGTGGAACCAGTTCTTGGGATTGTGTTGAAACACACTGATAGTGTTCTGCCCCCATCCACTTCCCTCCGCCCCCCAAGTCTGGCGGCAGCGGCTCATCACCTTTGCCTCCATACTTTATACTAAAGGGAAGGAACTGCAGCAGTGGAGCCATGGAAGCTGGGCTTGGTGGCCAGCTCCGGGTATATATTTGCCAAGTGGAAATGTTTGTGGGTGAAATAGTCATTTCCATGTGTAAGTGAGCAACAAAGGCCTTCAAAAGTCAAACATAAAAGCTGTTGGGTGAGACTCCCCGCCATGGCTCAGAGAGGACCCCGGAGGAGGAACAGGGAAATTAGGGAGGGCTTTCTGGAGGAGGTGGAGATTAAGCTGGATTCCAGAGGACCTACTAGCTTTCCCCGTTGTTCTGTTCCTCACCTGAACTTGCTCAGTAACCACTAAAATTTTGCTGATGTCTTGGGCAAAGTACCGTAGCAGCGTTAATGAAAACAGGCCCCAGGACTCATCAGACTTTGGGGAATCAGAATAAAATCACATTAGGTCATATGAAAGGTCAAACAGAAGGTGGTGCATTCGAGAATTTAAAAACAGTATTTAAACCAAATAAAAGTCAATATGACAATTCCAAAAATGTCAGTGACATAATACCTCTCCCTCCCTGGCAGATGCTTCCACCCGCTTCTCCTCTCATGTCACAAGCACTTGAGAAGGGGCAGGCCCTCTTCCTTAACTGACTTTAGCACAAGGTAAATTAGTTGCCTCAATAAATCTTAGTTTCCTAATCTGTAAAATGGAGAGGGCAACCTATACTGTATAAAAATGCACATTGTAACTCCCATTTGATTATTAGGGATAGCAAATGAGGTTGTCAATGTAAAGACCCTGGATTCAGTGCCTGCCACATAATAAGCATTCAATAAATGCCCGTTATTATTATTGTTGTTGTTATTAGTATGGGCAAGTGTAAATTATAGGAAAGTAACTAGACTTTGATGATCAACTGGCTGATCACTTTGACCTGGCAGCTATCTGCCAAGAGAATGACAGTCACTGTGGATGAAGGATTTTGTCACCCCTCCCAAAGGCTGCTAGAGAAAACGTACCAACTTGTGTATAAGACCAGGCTCTTCCACTCTGGGAAGTTTTTCAGCCACCAGACTCCATGAAAGACTTGACATAGTAGAAGGTACAGCTGCAGGAAAAGAGAGGCATAAAGAGGAGTCCACCAAGGGGAAAAAAGTCTCTGAGACTTTTTTGCCTGGAGTCACTAAAATCTTTGAAGACTTGATAAAAAACATAACCAAACAAAAAGCCCTACCTTCCTTGAACTAGAGGAAACCTCAAAGCTTAAATTAGAAAAGCAGAAAGTACTGCTTTTCACCAAGAAATAAGGGAATCTATCATCCCAAAATATTTAAGATGAGAAAATATTTTTTTTTCTCCTCCATCTAAAAAAAAATTTCAATAAGCTCATGGATGATTCATCCATGATGGGTTTTTGTTGGGAACTATTAATAACAAATTTTCTATCTTTCTAAAGTTGATCATGCCATTTTAGAATCCTTCCCCAGGGGCCTTTGTTAGAGCTACAGTCCCCAGCAGGAGAATTTCCCTACATGACTTAGATTTGCCCACTCTGAAGTACCATGTTCCTGTTAGTCACACAGGCTTGGGAAGCTTTCTGAGACCTTCCTTGTCAGAGGGTGGCATATCTCAGCCTCGTGTCCCTTGCATCTCTGAGTCCACACAGTGACCTGGTCCAGGGGCCGAGGTTTACCAGGCTGCATCTCAAACATGTACAAAGATGAGACCAGATAAGAGAGTGGCCTTGGGCCCAGTTCATCTTGACCCCATGAGTGCATGCTGAGTAGCTTCAGTCCTGTCTGGCTCTTTGCAACCCCATAGACTATAGCCTGCCAAGCTCCTCTGTCCCAGGGATTCCCCAGGCAAGAAAACTGGTGTGGGTTGCTATTTCCTCCTCCAGGGGATCTTCCCGACTCAGGGATCGAACCTGGGTCTCCTACATCTTCTGCTCTGCAGGCAAATTCTAAGAGAGTGGCCTTGGGCCCAGTTAATCTGCACTCCAAGAGGGTGGCATTCAGACCAGAGCCAGTAGTGTGGGCCAGTAAGTGCACTGCAAGATGGCCAGGCTGGCCTTTCATCTCCGCCCTGGCTGTAAGCCCTGTTGCCACAGCAGACCCCGGGGTGTGACTCACACCTGGAGCCTGGGGAGGGCCTGCTGGTGCCTTAGCACAAGTCAGAAGCCAGTGCTCACAGGGAGGGCTCGTGTGCCTGGGGAATT